CCTTTTTAATTAATTCCACCACCTGCACACAGTTGTCAACTCTCTCTACTCGGCTAAACACTCTGTGTGTTTAACCCAGCAGGAGATCTGGGAGCTGTTCTGGTGGGACAGAGATGAACGAATGTCACAGCAAAGTGACAGGTGGCTTCTGAATGCCAACCCAATGTCACATTCACTCCTGGACCGGCCTTCTCTAAAGGTTCCTTCCACTGCTTGAAATGTCACTTGGTCCGTTGCTAGCTTTCTAGATTTTCACAAACCTATTACTATAAATTTTAGACCAAGGCATTCATTACCCTCTGTCTACATCTCAACAAGAAAGACTAATTGAAGTTGAGGGAATCGCTAGAGTTTGCTTGAACAATGTCTATAGTCTAACGTTTCTTTCATGATAGCACTGTGGGCTTGACAGAAGATGGTCATTCTACATTTTGGAAGAAGCAGGTAAAAGCAAGGCTGGATTAGGTTTTACAGCTCAGTGGTCAGTGTTGAGAACATTCCTATAGAACTAAAGGTGCCAACTAATCACCAGGGAAGCAGATGATGTCAGACTCATCTCTGTACCATCAGAAAACCTGACCTTGACTTGTTCTGTTCAGTATAATTACTCCATGAAGAATTTTGGAGATCAACAATGTATGAGGCACTGGGGAAGGGTGGCTGGTAATTGAATTTGAGGGAATAAAGAGAGCCTGCTCAAATAATGCCCCTGGTTTAAAGTTTTATTTCATTGTAGCACTATGGGCTTGAGAGAAGACAGGCCCTTTTCTAAATTTTTGAAGAAACAGGTAAAACCAAGACCAGATTAGGTTTTACTGCCCAATGGTCAGTATTGAGAACATTCATTTATGCTTGCAAAAAATTAAAAATAAAGATCTGAGACACATTAATGGTTTTCATCCTTCTGCTAGCTGTAGACCTTTCTTCAATAAAAGGCTATGAGAAAGTCCAATATATAAAACCTGTGTAGGCTGAGTTACTCTCCCATGGCCCCTGAGGGAACTTGGCAGAAGATAGTTCTGAATTCACTGAAAGTGTGTGAGTGTGTGTGTGTGTGTGTGTGTGTGTGTGTGTGTGTGTATGCGTTTTTGTGTGTTTGTGGTATGTGCATGTGCACAGGTGTGTTTGCACATGCATAGCCCATAAGATAGGCAAATATAAGAGGTAACAAAATAGCAGTATGAGCTTTAGCACCTATGAGAGTTCAGAGGATGAAGGAAATAAGTATTGAATGTGGCTGTTAAGCATCTCAGCTAACAGATTTAGCCTGGAGGAGAGTGTCTTAGGCAGGAGGAATAGATTAGATAATATGGTCTCTATGGACTAATAACCCCCCATTGTCCAAGTTAAATCTGAAATGAAGACTATTTCCAAAATAAAAATTAGAGAGAGACTCTTCCTGGGGCTTTTACTGACTGTTAGGCTGTTTTTGATTCTTTCATTTGAACAAAGCTGTCACCTGTACTGATCCATCTAGCTCTTAGATAGTGTGAATAGGGGCATTCCCAGTTGGAGGCTGTAGGTAGATCTAGTAAGCCAAAATGAGCAATGATCACTGCAGAATGAACACTTTCATTTTAGTTGTGTGAAAGTTTTAGCAATACAAACTTGTTTTCCAAATGGAACTCACTTTTCAAGAATCTCTTTGAACTAGGAGGCAACTGCCTTTAAATCATTCTACACTGCAATTGCATTTAGCTTCTAAACTGCTAATCTAACATGGCTTCAGTGATTCTCACAGCCAGCAGGCCCCCCGCCTTCATGAGTGGGGCAATGATTCGTGGCTTGTGTCAGCCATGGGGAAGCTGGTTTCTTCTGAAAGTACAAAGGGATACAATTCTTGATGCTAGAAAACAAGCTCACAAAGACATGAAAATTAACTTTCAACATGACTTATTGTACTGCTTCTTGTCAATAAAATGGGAAAATGGTTTTAAATGTGTAGGTAGGTAGGTGTCAAAGTCATATATGACAGCATTGGATGTGCACGACACACCACCTTCACATGCAAGTCTCGGGAGGGAAAAGGTGAGACATGAGTGTCCAATACCAACCAGAAACTATGTGGACAGCTGATTTCAATGGTATTCTCTTCAGTGAAATTATTTTGGTAACACATTTCTTAACAAATTGACATGGAATCAAGACCTTTGCTCCAACCTAACAGGAAAGGCACATTTGATAAAGAAACACTTGGATGGATATCCAAGAGAGCAATTTATGTTGCCTTTTATTCATTAACTGATTTTTTTTAAAGATAAATCTCAGATGGGTATATAAACCAAAGACAATTGCTGCCAGTATTACCCAAAGTAGAAAGGCAAGAAACAAGTCCCATGTTTTCACTTTCACTTTTCATTTAAGTATTTGACAGGTTGGTTCATTGGTGACGACCCAGAGAAAAATATAAGGAAGGAACAAAGTAGTCTGTAGTAATATTGTAACTTCAACATCTCAAAAGACTTCCTGCAGCATCTGCAACTCCCTGAAGGAGCAAGTCAATTCCACTAGTTTCCCAGACATGAGCGGCGCGCTGATGAAAAATCACTAGCTAAGTAAACAAAATGACCCACTGGTTCACAAATTCCTGTGATAAATTGCACTGTTGATATGAATGTTAAATTTTAGATAGATTGACATAGCTATAGATAGGTGTATTGTAACATCTCTCTTTATATAACACACACGTGACATTTCATATCACCATGTAACTCCTCTCCAGTTTTAGATTACACTATCATAGTGGTGAATATTTTTTACGTCAAATAGAAAAAAAATCTCAATTTGCCCAATATCTATGTTAGGAAGTGATCATTCCATGAGGTGAAATATACAAGGCCTGTAATGTATCTGGAGACTAGCAGTTTATTGCTGGCTTCCTCAGTTTCTGGCTAGATTCTCTAGGAAAATTTGTCTTAGTTTCTTAACAATATACAAACAACAATGAGGCCAGACCTAAGTATCTGCTAGAGGTAATGAGGTAAAAATATAATATCCACAAGGTATTTAAATAGTAACATGAGGGATTGGGGAGGGATAACATCAGGATAAATACCTAATGTAGATGACGGGGGGAATGGATGCAGCACACCACCATGGCACATGTATAGCTATGTAACAAACCTGCACATTCTGCACATGTACCCCGAACTTAAAGTATAATAAAAATAAAAATAAATTTATAAAAATAAAATCACACATATTAAAAAATAATAACATATATAGGGTGACTTTTATAACTATTGTTTGATTTGTAAAAGGAGCCACTATTGGTGGTCTTTAAATGCAAAGCTCCCTGATCTTCAGATATCATTCACTTTACCAAAAAAAAAAAAAAAAAAAAAAAAAAAGAGAAAGTAAAAGTATGTTTATTGAGAATCTTCAAGACTATAAAGAAATGTGGCTGAGATGCTCCCAGGAAAGAAGAAGAAGAGATAAAACGTCTTTTGTTTTTGTTTTTTTTCTCTCTTTCTCATGTATAGCTTTCATTATTTTATTTTAGAGATAGAAAATTAAACTCTTGCTACTATGACACATTTAATCGAGAGAACAAGACCATAGCTAAATATAATCAATATATTCAAGATAATATGTAGAAATGTAATCAAGAATCTGCTTCATGAATGCAGATACCTTCCAGGTTATAAAGAAGATCCTGAACCCCAAGGAGGGCCTATCTTCCCAAGTTTTCACTCCAGGAACTCAAATTTGCATTGAGAAATGTGAAGTACAATAGAAAACAGAATATACAATACAGATATATAAATCAACATCCCTTGAATGTTGTACTTTTCTTGTCTAATTTCCAAACTTGGGTTTTTGTTTGTTTGTTTTTGTTTGTTTAAGTGTAAAGTAGAAAAGTAAGTGAATTTACTAAGGTTGTTCTTTTTGGACAAGACAAGCAGAGGTGAGAATAGAAGAAAGGAATAAAGAGGGACTACATATGTTAGACAAAGATAGGAATAAGACAAGAAAGAAAACACAGAACCTTAGGAGAAACTGGACCAGAGCTCACAGAATAGCATATAATTAACAAACAAAGTAAATGCAAAGACAAACAACTTTGCTATTCAAACTATGGTCCCCAGACCAGCAGCATTGCCACTGGTCAGTAACTTGTTAGAAACACAGGTTCTCGATCTTACTCAACCCACCAAATCAGACTCTCTATTTTAATAAGATTTCCAAGTGACTCGTATGCATGTTAGCATTTGAGCACATCTAACTCAGAGCCATCCATTTTGGCCTATTATGATTAAAGCTCACCTTTTCCATCCACCTTAATGTCTCATAACCAGAAAATCATGTCCCATAGGCAATCTTTATCCATTTACACAGGCCTACTATTTGCTTATATGCAAACACATATGAGACTCAACTCTAAAGGAGGATGTGTGGCATGACTTAAGGAAACCATGATCACTCTCTTAATCCGCATTATATACGATGACATGTGTGTTCATAGGAGGTTACTTCTTATCCATCTAACTATGACAAGAAAAACAACTGGCGAAGAACATGGAATGAAAGGACCAAATGGGTTCAAAATAATGAATTAAAATATAGTAAATGAAACATAGTAATATAGGAAAATAATAATTTAAGATAGAATAAAATGTACTATAAATTATAGTAAATATAACACATTGTCTATGGCAAATGTGTTAACATCTGTAAACAACTTTCACCTGGCCACCTAATTGTTGGAAATGACAGCTTCCTCCTACTTGACTTTCAGAGAACTTGAGAGCTTTCCTAAACTCAGAGAGCATCTCTAAAGCACGTTCTGTGTCTGTAAGGTTGGCAATCTATAAAGAAAGGTGTTTCTATTCCTTCAGAAGCAATGCTCTGAATGAGCTTGGAGGAGAGAAGTTAACCAAAAGTGACCCATGATTGGCAGCTTCCAGTGTTGGCAGGGAACCTGGATGTTAAGCATGTAGGAGTGCCAGCCCCTGGCAAAAACTGTGAACTCATTTCATCACACCTTCACTTTCCCTTACTTCTTTCTGTCCCACTTCTGCATCCAAAGCCCTTGTGCATCCCCCCGGACCCCAGTGGTCCTGCTGTCTGTTCAGTCTGGTTCAGGTTGTCTTGCTTCTTGTCTGAACTGTTGCAATGGCTCTCCTGGCTTGTGTTCTCCGATGCTTCACTTGCTGCTCTTCAAAGCACAATGAAGTCAGAAGCTATTAATTCTTATCTCATAAGTCTTTGACTCACTATATACAGAATGCTACTCTAAGTCTTCACAGAGAGAAAAGAACATCCCTGTCATTTAGATATCAGCCTGGCACTCAGATATTCTCTTGCATATAAACAATCTCAGAATATACAAACCTCAGATAAAAGTCACTCTGAGACCATAATAAAGTGAGACATAGCAAGGGTACTTTATAATTTTGCTTAAGCAATGACAAAATCAAGATCACTGTGCCTCCACCAAAATACCAAACGTCCCCTCTCTTGGCCAAAATGAGCAATTGCTATGGCTTTACCAATTGCATTTCTATTCTCAATCTAGTTGCTCCTCCCTATAGATAAGACTTGTTGAGATACCCAATCAGAGATTTGCCCTTACTTTCTGAAAGCATACAGACCCCACCTTCTCACCCCTTAGGCCCTTCTCAGGCTACTCAAGCAAAGCCCCAATCCTCTAATGCAGCAGATGATTTCAGGATGAAACTGTTTCACTGCCTATCATCAGGCATTAATTAGATTCTCATAGGGAGTGCACAACCTAGACCCTTCACTTGCACAGTTCAAAATAGGGTTTGTGTTCCTGTGAGAATCTAGTGCGGCCACTGGCCTGACAGGACGGGGAGCTCGGGCGGTCACACTCCTTAGCCACCACTCACTTCCTGTTGTGCAGCTTGGGTTCTAACAGGCCATCAGGGTGGGGACCCCTCCTCTAATAGGTTCCTTCTGGCACCCTGCTACCAAGAGACCCCACAGTTCCCCATGGTGTGGGTTCCCTCTCACTGCAATGCTTAGTAACAAAATGTGTTTAACCACAGGTGTATTCCTGGTGGTCTCTGGGTGAAGAGCACTAACAATTCAATGTGATCTCCAATGCTCTCCTTGACTCTGTTTCACAATTTTCAGTCTCAGATTCGTTTCGTTAAGCTACTTGTATTTCCTCAACATGCACTATATTCTCACAATGCTGCATGTGCTGAGCTGTTATTTCAGCTTGGAGTTTCTGTCCTCTGACTCTCAGCCACTGAAACCCTGTTTACCTCTAAAAGCTCAGGTTAAATTCCACAAGCAAATCTCTCTGATTTCTCGGGTCAAAGCCCATCCCTTTCTTCTCAGTGTTCTGTTCATACTCTATTTGACATTTATTTGATCTTGCACTCTAGTCATTTACATTCTTCTTTACTTCTTCACTCATTTTAGAGGCTCCATGAGAATTCCAATCATGCCTTATCTATCTCTCCTTTCTGTAGTGACTGTCTGGTCTCTGCTTGATATATAATAAAATTTTAATAAATATTTGCTAAATTGGATCTGAAGTTTCAAACTATTCTGTTAAAGTTGGAAGTTCTGAGAGGTATCTGTAAGTTAATTTAATAATCTCAGCTTAACAATTTAAAGCTTTTCATCTATGTTATGGCAACAAACACACTTATTGAATTTAAAATGTTAAGTTGTCAACTGTTTTTTGACTAATACAGTACAGTTTCACTTGCCTCAACCTGAATACTTTTATTATTTTCAATTCAGCAAATACTAAAAGTGGTATTTATTAAGCATATAAGCTGGCCTTGAGAATTTTCTTTAAATAAATGTTTACTTTGTCTCCTTTCTAATTAAGTTCTGGGGGTACATGGGCAGTATGCATATGCTTGTTACATAGGTAAACATGTGACATGTGTCCATGTGTTCTCATTGTTCAGCACCCACTTAGAGAACATGTTGTGTTTGGTTTTCTGATGAGGATAATGGCTTCCAGCTCCATCCACATCCCTGCAAAGGACATGATCTCATTCCTTTTTATGGTTGCATGGCATTCCACAGTGTATATGTAACATATTTTCTTTATCTAGTCTATCATTGATGGGCACCTGAGTTGATTCCTTATCTTTGCTATTGTGAATAGGGCTGCAATGAACATATGCATTCATGTATCTTTGTAATAGAATGATTTATATTTCTTTGGGTATACATTCAGTAATAGGATTGCCAGGTCAAATGGTATTTCTGGTTCTAGGTCTTTGAGGAATCACCACACTGTCTTCTACAATGGTTGAACTGATTGGCATTCCCACCAACAGGGTGAAAGCATTCCTATTTCTCTGAAGCACTGCCAGCATCTGCTGTTTCTTGCCTTATAATAATCATCATTCTGACTGGCATGAGATGGTATCTCATTGTGGTTTTGATTTAGATTTCTCTAATGATCAGTGACGTTGAGCTTTTATTCCATAGGTTTGTTAGCTGCATAAATGTCTTCTTTTGAGAAGTGACTGTTAATATCCTTTGCCCACTTTTTAATGGAGTTGTTTTTTTCTTGTAATTTCCTTGTATACTCTGGATATTAGACCTTTGTCAGATGAATAAATTGCACAAGTTTTTTCCCATTCTGTAGGTTGTATGTTCACTCTGATGAAAGCTTCTTTTGCTGTGCAGAAGCTCTTTAATTAGATCTCATTTGTCAATTTTTCCTTTTGTTGCCATTGCTTTTCACGTTTACACCTTGAAATCTTTGTCCATGGCTATGTCCTGAATGGTATTGCCTAAATTTTCTTCTAGAGTTTTTATAGTTTTGGGTTTTGCATTTAGGTCTTTAGTCCATCTTGAGTTAATTTTTATATAAGATGTAAGGAAGAGGTCCAGTTTCAATTTTATGCATATGTCTAGCCAGTTTTCCCGGCACCATTTGTTAAATACAGAATTATTCCCCCATTGCTTGTTTTTGTCAGGTTTGTTGAAGATCAGGTGGTTGTAGGTATCTGGTCTTATTTCTGAGTATTCTGTTCTGTTCCATTGGTCTATGATATGCTTTGGCTGTGTCTCCACCAAAATCTCATATTGAATTACATTTTCCATAAAATCCACTTGTGGGAGCTACCTGGTGGTGGGAGGTAATTGAATCATGGGGGCAATTACCTCCATGCTGTTCTCATGGTAGTAAATGATATATCAGGAGATCTAATGGTTTTATGAGGGCTTTTCCTCTTTTGCTTGGCACTTCTTCTTGCTGCTACCATCTGAAGAAGGATGTGTTTGCTACCCCTTCTGCCATGATTGTAAGTTTTCTGAGGCCTCCTCAGTCCTGTGGAACTGAGTCAGTTAAACCTCTTTCCTTTATAAATTACCCAGTCTGGAGTATTTCTTCATAGCAGTGTGAGAATGGACTAATATAGTCTGTGTGTTTTTGTACCAGTACCATGCTGTTTTGGTTACTGCAGCCTTGTTGTATGGTTTGAATTTGGGTAGTATGATGCCTCCAGCTTTGTTCTATTTGCTTAGGATTGTCTTGGTTATACAGGTTATTTTTGGTTCTATATGAATTTCAAAATAGTTTTTTTTTTAATTCTGTGAAAAATGTCAGTGGTAGTTTAATGAGTGTAGCATGGAATCTATAAATTACTTTGGTCAGTATGACCATTTTCAAGATAATGATTCTTCCTATCCATGAGTATGAAATGTTTTTACATTTGTTTATGTCCTCTCTGATTTCCTTGAGCAGTGGTTTGTTGTTCTCCTTGAAGAGGTGCTTCACTTTCCTTGTTAGATGTATTCCTAGGTATTCTATTCTCTCTGTAGCAATTATGAATGAGAGTTCATTCATGATTTGACTCTCTGCTTGTATGTTGTTGGTGTACAGGAATGCTTATGATTTTTGCATATTGATTTTGTATCCTGTGTCTCCTTTATCAGATTATAATTTTTATGTAATATTAGGAAATGTAAACTGAATTCATGGGTCCTAGTAACCCACAGAATGACTAAGTTGTGATCAAAACCAAAAGCACTCAAGTGTAAATCAGAAATAAAGAACACTACTGAAAAATAGACAAAAGATAAGTTGTCATAAATCCATTTAGAATAAATTTCATTTTTACTGAAATTGTAAAACAAATTATACAGAGCTCTTCTGTACTTTGTGATAGCTCCGGTTAATTTTTTAATATTTTGAATGAAAAATGTTGATGACTTTATGATGACAGTTGTATGTAACATGTTTATTTTTCTACATGTGTTGTTTGGAGAATGAAGAACACAATACTTTAGAGAGCTGCATGCAGCTTGCTGCTCTGTTTCCCTATCTGAAAAGCGGTGGTGATAAGAGCCCCTAACTTTGTAATTTGCTGTGAGGATTAAGTGAATAACTATAAACTGCTTGCAATAGCACCTTGCACATGGGAAGTGGAATTGAGTATTAACTGTTATTATTATAATTCGTCTTCCATAGAACTGTCACAGCTTCCTCCCTGGCTTTATTTCTTCAGATATGATCATGCTTCTTGTGTTTAAAAATCATTGAAAGTCTCCCGTTACTGGCAGGATCAAGTTCCATGGCATTCTCATGTCATTCAATCCTGTTCATTATCAACTGCTGACATTCAGCTAATTTTATTTCAATTCAAATACTTCCAGAGAGAATGAAATGTTGGTTTCTTCTCTAAGGACCATTGCTCCAATCAACCAACCTGCATCATCTGACAATTGCTTATGTTTTCACACTTGTGACTCTTCAATGCTAAAAATGTCAATTCCCTATTTTATTTATCTAGGCAGTCCCCCACCCTTACTTCCTTCTTTGTGCAAATTTCAGTTGCTTTGGCTGTATTCTCTGACTCTGCTAGGTATACTGGGTTGCCCCATTTGCTTCATTCACCGCCTTCTACATGCCCTCTAAATGGTCCCTCTAATTCTGACATTGCTGGGGCACTCATTCACCCTTTTTTCCCCTATGTCACATACTAATGCTTATTCCCATCCTTAACTGTGCCCCACTCTGCTGGAAGTTCCTTGTTTTTCTAAGATACAATAGTAAAAAAATATGTAATAACTCTCCATTTTCTACAGATAAATGCATGAGCTCCTGATCATGGCTTTCAAGGATATCCATTATATGAATGCATTTATATTCTGTCACCTTCTGTATGAATAAATTTGTTGGTAGCCATGTTGGTTTCAATAGCATCATTGAACTCATTCTCTGTTCATAATGAATTACTTTATTATTATCCAATGAAAATGTAATTAACATCTGCTACTTTCTATATACTGTGTTAGTCAGGGGAGATACAGAGACATTTCCAGTTGTAGAGAATTTGAGATTATGAGGATTTTTAAGTATCTAGTATAAGGCAGGAATGTCACAAATTCAATTTTATAGTAAAATCGTGTAATGTACTGAGGCAAGAGGAGTCGAAACACTTTATGTGAGGAAAAACAACAAACATAGTAATAAAAAGATACAATAACAAATGCTGAAGTGGTTTTCGAAAACAGCTTTTTTTTTAAAGCCACAAAGTTATAAGAGAATTTATCATGAAACATGACCATCTTAAAACTACGATTTCTTCAGCAAGATCACTGAAGGTAAAAGTTGGATATCTGGTTTTAGACACTTACACAGAGTACTTAATAATCAGAAAGGTTCAATGTATTAAATATATTAAATTATGGCTTTCACCTGTCTGGATAAACTATTGCTATCCCAATGACTTTTTAGTTGTAAGTATTTTTTAGCCTGGGTATTTAAAAGTTTTCATGTCTTGTTTGATAAAAATATATCATTTATTCTAATAAATGTATATCTCCACAACTGGATACAAAACACAAACAGATTCCTAAGGATAATGTTTAATGACTTGCCAAACAGGATTTCTGATCTACACATCTGGGAGCTGGATCTATCCAGCCCATGAAGAACAGCCTGCTTCTAGAGGGCTGATTTCAGTCCTGTCTTGTGACAGTGCCTGCCACCTGCTCTTAGAGCACAGCCTCATCATTGTGGTCAGAGCCCACAACATGAACAAAAGAATATGATGACATAAGCCATCATCCCGAGAGTATCACCGAACCCAGAAAAAGTATTGAGACTGCTTGACGTGCTGACGGCCCAAGAAGTGCCATGTTAATAATAAACATAATTACTCTTTAGATGGCATCTCTTCTACTGCAATTCTCCTTTCTTTTCTAGCAATTAAAGAATATTATTTCCCTTTCCTTTTCTACTTTCATTTTTTTCTTTCTATTCAATGGCAAGCTTCATAAGCCAACATATCCCCTTTATTTAGTATACAAAAAGTTGTGCATTTTCCCTGACAGAGAAACTCCCAATAGTTATGGTTAGCTTTTTGTTTTCATGTTTAGCACATTCTCATTCTGGTTCTCTTTCTGGATTTTGTGCATATTACCTCCTTCAAAACCTCCTCTTTTATGGCTGGGCACAGTGGGTCATGCCTGTAATCCCAGCACTTTGGGAGGCCGAGGAAGGTAGGTCACTTGAAGTCAGGAGTTCAAGATCAGCCTGGCCAACATGGGGAGACCCCATCTCTACTAAAAATATGAAAAAAAAATTAGCCAGATGTGGTGGTGGGTGCCTGTAATCCCAGCTACACAGGAGGCTGAGGCATAAGAGTTCCTTGAACCCAGGAGGCAGAGGTTGCAGTAAGCCAAGATGGAGCACGTACTCCAGCCTGGTGACGGAGCAAGACTCTGGTCTCTCTCTCTCTCTCTCTCTCTCTCTCTCTCTCTCTCTCTCTCACACACACACACACACACACACACACACACACGCGCGCAAACAAAAGAAGCCCACAAAAACAAACAAAAATCCCTCCTCTTTAGGTTAACTACAGAGTGAAGTTATTGCAAATCAAATACATGTCTTTACAGGTAGTAAGTTCCAAAAAGATCTCCATGAGTCAATGCTGTGTGAAAAACTGCATGGCAGAATAACTTCATGGTCTGCTCGCTCACTATATAAAATTATGAACAATTTAAATTTTGTCAAATTTTACTATCAAATATTTAAAAATCCTTAACTTTCTGACTCGGATTTCAGTTAAAAATTTGTAATAATTAAGGGATGAACAACTGACAGAATCATCAGAGGCTCTGCCTTTAAGTCTTGACAATTTGGAAAATTTTGTTTTAATCCAAATACTTAAAGAGAATAAAATGTTGTTTTCCAGGATCTCATGTTAGGATGAATGTGAAATCTTAAAAAGGATTTTGTGTTAGTTTTTTGTTTTGTTTTGTAACATGAAAGAAAAAACCAAAAACTTAAAGAAAAAGAAAAGATGGATAGGAAAACGTCAATTTACTTTAAGTGGAGAAAAAAGAAGGCTGAAAATATAAGGCAATCAATTTTAAGGAACTGACTTAACCCCGGAATGAGGTCACAGCAAGTTTTCTTCATTTAACAAAGCCCAATCCAAATATTTTTCATGGATACAACTGAAAAGTGTCACTCCATAAAGAAAAAATAATTGGTAACTTTATACTTTTATGTCAGTCAAACGTATACACACATCACAGACTCTAGAACCACAAACAACCTTTATATTCCTGCTGCCTAACTTTTTCTGAGTGCTTAAATATATCCAACAACAGAATAAAGGGGAAGAAAATGGATTAAACTGTCCCCACTCCCTAAAAAATGATAAGTTGAAGTTCTAAACTCCATTACCTCAGACTGTAAACTTATTTGAAAATGAGTTCTTCAGAAATGTAAGAGGGTTGAAACGAGGTCATTAGGGTGGACTCTATTGCCACATATGACTGGTTCTTATAAGAATGGGAAATGCAGACACAGAGAAAAAACACTTATGCAAGAATACCATGTGAAGATGAAGGCAGAAACTGGGGTGATGATTTACAAGACAGAGAATGTCAAGGACTGCCAAAGACCAATGGCCACTTGCAGAAGCTAGGAAGAGGCTAACAAAGACTCTGGAAGGAGCATGGTTCTGCAGAACCTTGATTTTGGACTTAAATTCCAGAACTGTTAGAGAATAAATCATTATGTCTAAATTACCCAGTTGATGGTTTCTTAGGGCTGACCTAGAAAGACAGAAGACAGAAGGATCATGAGACAGTTGGTTATTGTTTGGCAAGATGTAACTGGACTCCTGCTCAGATGATAAAAGAAATGTAAAGGAATGCCTAAGAAAATTATTCTACAAGTATAAGAATGTGGTTCATGAGTTTAAACTGACATCAGCAGTTAGCTAAACCAAGTTTTTTAATATGAACCCCCAGCACTGACATAATGATATTGAAAAACAGCACGAAGCTAGCATCTCTGTGACATTCATTAGGACCTGTAGCAGAACATCTCAGAGCATGGTTTTGGGCTTCCTGCATCAGAGTCACTTAGAATGAATCTTAAAATTCAGATTTTCAGGGTCCATCCCAAACCTACGGAATCAAAGTAACCTCTTCTGTTGAATAAGAATGTCTGAGGGTGAGGTGTTCCATTGAATCATAATATCTAAAGTCATTTTTAAACTAATCTCAGATAGATAATCGTTGTATACATTAAGAGAACCACTGCTCTACATTTACTTGGCTATTTTCATAATGTTTTCCTTCTGATTGTGGTAAAGTGAAAATTGTTGAGCTAAATGTATTCCAATATCAGTTTCTGCAGTATAAGCAAAGCATGATAATTTCAAGGTCATGCAGTGAGAATATTTATGTTGTCTGGGAGGAAACTCTAATTCCTTCTGATGCCAACACAAACAAACTGCAAGAAAAACAATGGAAATGCTGGAAGTCATAAGTAAGCACATCTATTTCTAAATATTCTCCTGTCATTGATTCCTCTAACTGAGGTGCTTCTTTAGATACCTTACACATTGAATTTTTCATGCATCTGTGCTTTACCACCTCCGTGATACTGAACAATTTTGGGGCAGTCTCGTAGGTCGTAAAACACAAATGCATGGAAAGGAACAGAGACCATGTCTTTGCTCTTGATGTCTTTTTAACCTCTATTGAATCTGCTACAAACCCTATTGCATGGCTTAACACGTTGAATACCCGATAAATTCCTGCTGCCTAATCAGAAGGAGGGAAATCCAATACATGAATACTCCTGGGATAAAATGGGGTGATGGCTTGGACATGCTGGTAACAGAGATAACGTTTTCTTTTTCCATATTGCAAGCTGATCCATAACTGTAATGGAGATGAGTCACTGGGTCAGTGGTCATGCTGTAAATTTGTAGTTCTCTGCTAACTCTTGAAAATAATTTTTAAAATGATTGTCTTCATTTTATTTGCAAGATTAATGACTTGGAGGGGAATCTATAATTGATTACATTCTACAACCAACCTCTGTTACTCAAACGAATGAAAGTACAGTTATAAGTAGATAAATCTTGTCTCAGAAATGAAGATAAATTAATGTAAATGAATAGAAATGAAATTGTTATATAATTGTTATGCCTAATTTATAAGCATGTCATAATAAGCCTGACAAAAGGTCTAAAATATATTATTTTGCAACATACCAAACGGTAACAAAATATTTTAACTGTTGGATGTACAAAATCTTAATTAAACAGCAACTGAACACATTTTAAAAAAATACAGCTTAATATTTCCTGTATCTTATATTTAAGAATGCCTCAGTCACAAAAGTCAGAGCCACAAAGACATCAAAGCATACAGTTACCAGACTAAGCTTTCCTCCACATATCCTTTAACTCACTTTTCATTTGTTCTATAATCGTGCATTCCATCAACATGCTTTTTTTCCTTTTTTTTTTTTTTTTTTTTTTTTGATCTGGACATTATTTGAGTCTGAAAGAGATGGGAGTTTGGAAACAGGGAAGATACTTTAAGGAAGATGGATTTTCATCACCAGGCAGTTTTCCATCCATAATTCCTTGTTATGGACACAAGACAAGGATGTGCCTAGAGCCCACATCTAGCATGGAACTCACTAGTTGAAAGAAACAAGGATGGCCAATGGAAAGGAGGTAAGGGAAATCGGGCCAGTGGCTCCATGTCCTGGAAACATGCATAGATCCACCTTTGTGAAGGGTGGAGTGCCTAGATCTTCATAACTACCCGTGCTAGTACTTAGCTCATAGTTGTCACTTATCATGGGTAGATAAGTTACGAGATAAACGACTTCATCTGATCCTGCGACTCTTGATTGAAGGATAAGAAATGATATAGTCTAGTGTTTCTGGCTGTTCTCCTGTGGATAGTCATAGGTAAATCCAAAATACTCCTGCCTTTGAAGTCTCCTGATGCCTTCTAAACATTACATTTCAATTCAGTGAAGGAACAGGGGTCTAATGAGTCATTTGTGAAATCCTATGCAACAGGCTTGTGGTTCCCCTCCTCATTTATTATCACTGCACACACTATGTCCACATGACTGCTTGTTAAGACTGTTTTTCACCTTAAATTGAACTCCAAGTTTGCATATTTCTAGCAATTTTGAATTTTGGCTTATGTTACATTTTATATGAAAAATTTGCTGCCTAGAGTGGAAAAGTGGGATCCAATTAGGCATACAAGAAAAAAAGAAATTCCTATTTGGTGAGGCCCTGAGTTGTGATGACTGGGGTGAAAGGAGGGATTGGGTGAGGTTGCTCCATGTTTTTAGTCCACAAAACACCCCAGACCTTGATAAGGAGTGCCATCAAAGGGCAAAAACTGAGCTTTCATTTCTTTTAATTATTCATACAAACGTTTGTAGTTTATGGGTTAGAACATTTGGGATGCTTTTTCTTCTGGCTTTATTGTCACCTGCCTTATAGCAATCTCTTAACCTCTCTTGTCTTTTATTTTATTCAAAATGAATAATAGTGTGGCAGCTTTTGCTAATTCACTCCATTGGTTTTTAAGTCTGGGAGACCCCACTTCAGCATCATATTTTGAAGATGGGGGGACTGAGGCTCAGAGAGGCTACATATTTTTTGACTGGCTAAGAAACAATACATGGGAGATCAAGACCTTGAAGGCAGATCTTTGAATTCAAAGCCTATTTTTATCATCAGTACAATGGGAAACATTAATTTATTCCCAGTATGGGTTTAAAAGTGATTGCCCCTGTGCACAATACATTTTATTCTTTGCATATGGTTCCTTCAACCAAAAACACTTTTGAGATTCTCTTGTAATTTGTTCTGTCTAGAGGATCCCGAGTGACTATTCAGGATTGCAAATTAATCAAATATTCAGATCCTGGGACTTGCTGGGGCTCAGAAAACAATGTCCCAAGGCATGCCTCTATGATATGGTGAGTATTTTCAACTAAAGAAGCTGCCTTAGAATCAAGGTTGATTTGACCTTTTCCTATCCTGTGTCTTTTGCCCTCTGCCTTTCCTGAAGCCCAGGAAGTGGATTTCTTTGGAGTTTCCCTATCTAACTGTAAGGGAAGTTCTACCAGAAGAAAAAATTTAGTTGTTCTAACCCCCTTTCTTGGTATCTAAATTAACCGGAGAGGGTTTGGGAGAACATATTAAAGACCTCCATACCTAAAACACTGCATGCAGACAGACTTTTCAACTATTCTTCTAATCATCTATTCTGCTGCCTTAGAGACTTTGCATGCACAATAAGACAACCTTCGTTCATAGTGCATTTCCTCCCCCAACCCTCCATAGCCCGTCACCACTACCCTCCAGGAGCCCTGAAGCCCTATTTCTTTCTGTAGCTCAAAATGGTATTTAAGAGTCAACCATCTGGCCCTTTTTTGAGTCTCATATTTTTGCGGACTCCTATGCATAGGCATATAATAGTTTGTATGCTGTTTCTCCTGTTGATCTCACTGCTATCAAGTTATCAAGTTTATTATAGAGATCAAACCTTCAGAGGATGGGTGGAAAGTTTGCTTCACCCCTATAGATCCTAGATAGATAAGACAATAACAAAATATTGATTCCATAGTTTTTTTGTAGTGATGTTTCCAGTTACTTAATAGCAGATACAGAGATTTCTGTATACAAAATTAAGTTGTAATTCTGTTCAGTGTTTTTAAAGCTACATAACACTTCTAAGTTTGAAGAACACAAGTTGTCTCAGTAAAAAAGTGGGGAGGGGAGCTCATTCACTGAATGTATATTAAGTGCCAGGTGCGTCACTTATCTCTTCAAGATCTCAGCATAGAACATTTTTTTTTCCAGAAATGGGGTCTCACTCTGCCGCCCAGGCCGGAGTGCAGTGGCATGATCTTGGCTCACTGCAACCTCTGCCTCCCAGGCTCAAGCAGTCCTTCTGCCTCAGCTTCCTGAGTAGCTGGGACTACAGGCAAGCACCACCACGCCCAGCTAATTTTTTGTATTTTTGGTAAAGATGGGGTTTTGCCATGTCTTCCTGGCTTGTCTTGAAATCCTGAGGTCAGGTGATCCACCCATCTCAGCCTCCCAATATACTGGGATTACAAGCATGAGCCACTACACCCAGCCTCAGCATAGAACTTTGAAGTAGTTATTATCACCCCATGTCACAGATGAGAGCAATAGGATCCAGAGAAATAAACCACTTGGGCCACCTAGGATGTGTCAGAGATGGTATTTGAATCTAAGACAGTAAAACACGAGAGTTACTTTCCACTATAAAGTAGCTGTCCCTCATAAAATCAAGTTAGTAATAACACAGTGCAGCCAATAACTAAACGTGTATTCTACATGGCAGGGCCTGGGCCATGCCTCTCACCACTGTGCTTGCCATGGAGAGATCCAAATGGGAGCTCAATGCTGAGGAACACAAGTGGGAGAAGCCAGGAGCACTGGGGAAATTACTTTTAAACATATACTAGGAACACATTGAATTAAACACATGTTTCTGCTCCTCTACCAATGTGATTTTTAAGTTTCCAGCACAATTCCCGGATGAATCAGACTTAGTACAATGGCAGATGAATGAAAGATTACATGCTTTGAATTAACATGGTCGTGCTTTCCAGGGTGCTCTGTTTGTGTGTTAGTGAGGACAGCATAGCTCATTCCTATCCGGTGTCACCTGCAAGCCCAGTGCCGAAAGAGGTGGCTGGTACCACAGCAGATTCTCATGAGGCACAGTAAATAACTACTTGACTCAGGCTGTTTCAAAGTAGCCAACTGAAAATATTAAAATAAATACACAGGTCTCATTTTTGTAGTTATGTGAGGATTGGCACCTGATGTCCTGGACATTTTTGTTGGAAGCTACATTATTTTGGCATAAGGAAAGTAGAATCTAAAAAACAAATTGTTATGGACTCATCTGCAGATTTTCCCTGTTTCTAGTTTTCTCAAATTTTGAAATATTTGGAAGTGTAAGTGGCCTGAGAGATCATAGCATCCAGTTTTCTCTTTCCTCACTTTCAGAAAAAGAGTCTCCTTTCATCCTCATGACTCATTTCAATCTTATTGACAAAGTCTTTCTTTTAAAGTTGTATTTTATTTTGCCTTTTTTTTTTTTCCAGAGAAACCAAACCCAAGAATTTATTGCATAGGGATTTTCCTTTGCTGGGGGAGCACTTCAGTTGAAATGAGAAAAAGCTGATTTTATGGAAAGAGATAAGCTTGATGAAGAAAGTGATAAACAGGAGGTCTGAGATTTGTTTTCAGAAACATTGTTGACTTGCTTTGTGGATTGGACAAATCCCCACTGAGTACCATAGCCTCCTTCACTTAAAAATAAGAAAACTCTCTTCACTTTTCTCATAGCTGTCTCTAGCTGACAGCACATCAGAAAGTGCACTTCATTTTTTTTTTCCTTTATTGCTATGTTTAAAGTTCTCGAGAATGCATTCGACCAGCTGGTTTGGTACATAATTGGAACTGAGTAGTACACAGGAAGGTTTAAAAAAAGTTATCCCCTTCCTCCAGAGGTCGTAGTCATGGAAACCTGCTAATACCTTTAAATAAAATATATCCATTCTTTCAAAGGAAAACTTGAACATCATGTATAAAGATAAATATTTTATGAAATAATGCAGGGTGGCTTGGAGATATTCTC